ACTCTTGAGAGTCCCCTGGACTGCAAGGAGAACAAACCTATCCATTCTAAAGGAAATCAACCCTGAGTGCTCACTGGAAAGACAGATCCTGAAGCTGAGGCTCCATTACTTTGGCCATCTGATGAGAAGAGAAGACTCCTTGGAAAAGACCTTGATGTTAGGAAAGTGTGAAGGCAAGAGGAGAAGGGGACGACAGAGGATAAGATGGTTGGACAGTGTCATCGAAGCAACCAAGATGAATTTGACACAACTCTGGGAGGCAGTGGAAGATAGGAGGGCCTGGCGTGCTCTGGTCCATGAAGTCACGAAGAGTGGGACACGACTAAACGACTAAACAACAACAACGAGGGCCCATCTCAGTAGCTGCCAGTCAAGATGGAAAATATTATTTGTAGTATGCCTCTGATACTCTTGTAATCAGACTGGTGGACTTCCCATATGCCACTACCCGCATGCTGTGTAACAGAATATTTGACTAGATAACACGTTTGGTCTCATTAAGCAGGGGAACTCTTCGGATTTAATGGAGGAAGTTAGAGTGAACTGGAAATTCATGTTGAGCATGAACTGTACCATGGAGCTTGGATATCCACCAGTGGCAAGCATGCTAAGCCCCTGCTTTTGAATCCAGGCACAAGCTCAGTGAGCTTTTCTTGCTCTTCTAGTGACAGACTTAATTTGGCACAAAACTCTTGTTAGTAATTCTTTTCCCCACCCACTATAAATCTGGGCAACTTCCTACTACGCCAACATGTTTAATCCTATAACAGGCATCATCTCAATTTTGTCTGCCTTTTGCAGCAAGTTAAATCTGAGGGAGACAAGCAGATATTTCAGCAGGAGGATTCAGAAAACCTGTCACACACACACTCGGAAGTAGAACTGTCCTATCAAAGTAGGACTGCCACCCTGCTGGTGCGTGAATGGTGAAGACACAAGAACAATGGCCTTATAATGACAAATTTGGCCCTACTGTAGCAGTCTTATATTTGAGAAGATTATTAAGCCGTTGTCCATCCCACCATCCACTACACTACATTGGCTCTCTTTCCTTGGACTACTTCTAGGGTTTTACTTGCTGCTGTCCCCACCTCTGCAAATGGACAAATGGCTGTCCATCCAACCCATGTATCTAAATCTTCCGAATTGTTTCCTTGCGCTCCTCTTCTTTTGATCACAAGCTGTCACAACTCTTTCTATTCTGTTATAAAACAGAGAAGAGTAGCACTACTACAGAGACATTCTGATGGACTCTAAAGCAGGATGTAGCTTTGGTAAATGAGAACACTGACTTAAATTAGTGCCAGAAGCTGGCACATACGGCCAGAATTCTACAACAATATAAATGAATAAGCTTTATCTTCCAAAGCTGACAGTTCAATAATAGACATATCTCTCAAAACCCTAATTGAGATAAAGTATCTTTGTATTCAGTATCAGATAAATAAATACACACATCTCACTCATAACAGCAATTTATTGGCATATTCATTAGTAAGAAAAGAGGAAGCACAGAAGAATTTTAATCCATTGGTTGGTTCACATATACATGCCTAATGACTACACTAACAAGCATCTACTTGGAGTACTGAATGGGCCATCAGACATGCAACAAAGAAGGCAACTTTTTAGTGCCTTAACATTAAGCTGAACTATGGGGACAGTTTACACAGAGAAAGAGAGAGAAGTGCATGAATTTAGCAAGTTTATACTCTAGAAGGTGAGCTTGCCTGTTACAAAGATGTAGCCAAATGTGTAGTAGAGGATTTTGAATAACAACATAACATCCCAGGTTTGAAAAATGACTTCTTTATTATCTCTTAATATTTACTTATTTTCCCTAAGCAATAATCAATTGCTTAGGGAAATTAAGTACATTCTTAATTAACAATAATAAAGAAGACTCAATCA